AAATTATAAATATATCAATTCATGTGAATATGACTGAAATTTCCATTTTTTCTGAAAAGGCGGTGTCTATTTACTTGTGACCACACTGTGTATATGCAATATGATTGTCTAATGGTCCATTAAAACCAACTTTTTACCATTCCATATGTTATTTCAATAAGGAAAATGACACTGCATTTGTTTTTAAGCAAAGGAGACTGGATACAATGTATTGTTAGAAAAAATGTTTCATTGCAATCGGTGCATTCAGCACAATAGAGCACTGGGGTTCACCAAGTAACCGCAGGGATTTTTTTTCAGCTGGAAGTCACTGTTTCTTGACATTTTACTGAGTGCAGGAAAAGACTACTAGCAAATTGAGCACTTTTTGAAAGGTGTCACTTCTATAAGAACTGTGAGAGGGGGAGGTATTCAATTCAATACAAATCAATTTATTCAACATGTGCACAATTTTTAATGGCTTGTATTTTTTTTGTACGGTTATTGAGTTTTTATGGGCTTTTGGTAAACTGTAGATTTTTGATGTTCTTCGTTGGTTTCGATGCAAAAAATTGTAATGTTCAAGAATAATAGTTTTTTCTTCAAGTAGGATTTTGAATAATTTGCTCAATTTTTTGTTGTTGTATGTTGGGTTAAGATTGGTATTTAGATGTACCATTCAATTACATTTACTATTAAGGAATCATTCTGTATACTTGAGAATGATCACACAAGTGATCAAAAATGTGTACCCGTTTAAAAATATTCTTCCTTATTGTAAAAGCTGTAACTTGTAATAAAATAGTTTTAAACAATGTATTTTGAAAAGTTTTAAATTCTGTAATAAAAAAAAAACATTTTATTTTCTCTTTTGGGGCATATAATGTACAACACAAAAGATTATTTTTTGAAAAATATTTCATAAATGTTTTTGATGCCATTTTAAATAGATAGAGTAAAGAGGGTAGAAATAGCAATGGTTGTGTAAAGTTAGTTGAAATTGTGAAACTCTGGAAACTATTACTGAAAATTACAAAAAGGGCAATAAAGTTAGTAAGAAGTATTATGAAGCATTATGGAATAAACTGCATTTCTATAAAAATGAGAGAAATTATAATTAGAATAAGATTTTAATTAAAAAAGGAAGGTATAATGGATAATTATACTTTAATTTTATTCGTTTTTGAGCATTTTTAATATACTTTATTTATACAAGGAGTGTATTATATGTTTATACATTTGGAAAATATCTGTATTTAATTTAGTTTATTTATGATTAGTTGAAAAGTGCTATCTGAATGTTTTTGTTACAGATTTGCTGTAAAATTATATGTTGAAGAATAACCTTTGAAGTCACAAAACCAGTCGAGGAAATTAATCAAAAAGAGAAAAAACACAAGATTATAATACTCTAGTGTTTTGTTATTTGTATTGGCTAAAGCTTCAAGATGGAAATAAAGACAATCAGACAGCATCAGGAAGACAGACAATTAGATTGAACATTATTTACAAAAAAAGCCCACTGGCTGAACTTTGTTTATACAAAGAATTATAATGTCATTAAACTAGACCCGTAGTGTATTATTCACCAGGGATGTGTTGCACAGTCTTTTCATGGGGAAGCTATAGTCCCGCAAAGACTGGGAAATTAAACTCTAACAATACATTTAAAATAATACTTACTATAACTTTAAGTGATGAGATATTATGCTATTTGAGTGTGATTTTTACTGCTGACAATAGTTGTTTAAGATCAAAAACCAAAAAATAAATAAATAAATGTAACCTAAATTTTTTTAAACTAGAAAATGAGGAGACTACATTTTAAAGCCAAATTTTTTTTGCTTAAACTGTGATTTGGTGGCATAGACATGACACACAACAGCCATTTCAGAAGTGAGGGAAAGCCACTTATTTGTTAAAGTAGGGACAGTATAGAAGAAAGCACACCAAAAACAGAAGCTAATGACAAAAATGGAAGGTAGCGGGTCCATGGTTAGAGAATGAGTTGAATGCCAAAAACTGGAAGATACCTCCCACAAAAGGGAGGGTTGAAATATATGTTAAAATATAATCTGTGGAGACAAACAGCTAGATAAAGCATTATCAAAAGAAACAGACACTTAGTTTTAATCTCATCAACATAAAAAGACAGCTAGCTAGAACTTTATTTGCAAAAGCAAAGACTGCGAGCATTATATTAGGAATTGACAATTAATAGTTAAAGCATTTTTTTTTTTTAAACACAGAGAAGTAGCTAAAACATAGGCTTAGGAAACATAGGTAACTAACTATAACACACCACAACACTTTAGGAAACACAGATGAGTAGCTAAGACATTATGTTAGGAAAACATAAGTAACCAGCTATAACACACCACAAGACTTCAGGAAACACAGATAAGTAG